AGCCCAGGAGTTTGAGGTTGCTGTGAGATAGGCTGACGCCACGGCACTCACTCTAGCCCGGGCAAAAGAGTGAGACTCTGTCTCAAAAAAAAAAACAAAAAAACAAAACTGGATTTCTTCTTAGAACATATTCATCCAGTGCTTTGAATACTGTTTTTAGTACAGAGCATCACGTGATCATTTTTGAAGGTCATTTATAGTATTGCTATCTTTTTCACTTATAAACCATTGTTTTTAAAAACCTAGTCAAATTTCTTTTATAGGGCAAAAATATCCACCCCATATAGGCCAAACAATGTATGATTTTTGTTTTTTTTTTTTGTGGGACACAAATATGATTACCTAATTGTGCCTATTTTCTATTATTCTTGAGTCATACTGATATCCGTTTGCATCTTTCCCACAATGAATAATTAAATACATTGCAAAATTGAAATGTAACTTTTCGTTTTTGCTTCCTATTTTAATTTTGCTACAAGAAATAGATAAAGTCCTACTCATTAAATCTACATCAAAGGAGTTAACACCACCCTTCATTTCTGCTCCAGGGAGGTAATAAAAGGTTAGAATACTTTCTCTGAAGCAATCATTCATTTGATGGGAAAACCTTTTTGTCTTCATATCTACTTCTGACAAAAATGAGGGTGGAGGTCAAACCTATTGGAGTTTGAAAGAAAGAAAGAGAGGAAGGAAGAAAGAAAGGAAAGAAAGAAATTTCGTCAGCAGAAGACTGAAATTTTGTGGGTAATATATGAAAGTTGTATAATATTGTTTTCAGCTAGGAATCAAACAAACATCAGCAAAAACTTTTGATTGGATCCCATCTTAAAAGAACCATTAAGTACTGCTTATCTGAAACAAACAAATAAGCAAATAAGCAAACAATGAACCCAAATACAGAACATCCTTTTAATCATTCTGTAGTTTACTTGTTCATTCATTGATTACATAAACCAATTTTTCTTAAGAAAGATTCTTTTAAAAAGCCAGGCTAGGTGGCTCATGCTGTAGTCCCAGATACTCTGGAGGCTGGTGGGAGGATTGCTTGAGCCCAGGAATTCAAGACCAGCCTGGGTGATATAGCAAGACTCTGTTTCTAAAAATAAAACAAGTAAAGAAATAATTTCTTATTTATTGGATGGTCATTAGACTTTGGAAGGTCACTGAATTCGTGTCCTTTCCTCTTTCATTGCCCTTTGCAATAAATAAAAGCCTGCACTGGCAAGATGTTTATGGACAGGCCAGGCGAGGTGACTCACGCCTGTAATCCTAGCACTCTGGGAGGCCGAAGTGGGAGGATCACTTGAGCTCAGGAGTTTGAGACCAGCCTGAGCAAGAGCGAGACCCCATCTCTACTAAAAAATAGAAAAAATTAACCAGGCATGGTGGCATGTGCCTGTAATCCCAGCTACTCTGGAGGCTGAGGCAAGAGGATTGCTTGAGCCCAGGAGTCTGAGGTTGCGTGAGCTAGGCTGACGTCACAGCATTCGCCTGGGCAACAGAGTGAGACTCGGTCTCAAAAAAAAAACCAACAAAAAAACAAAAAACAAAGGTTGACAAGATAAAGAATATTCTAGAAGTTAAATAGAGATACAATTTTCTTCCAGAAAATCCAGGCAAATAGCAACCAGTACTACAGACAGATTTAAAGGTATTATAATCTCCCCCACCAAAGATGCTTAGAGTAAAGGTGGCTAATATTCCAAGCAAACTTGAAATGGAAAAAAATCACACATGTAGCTTCATTTCAAATATAAAAATTAATAATTTTTTCTCTTAGAAAGTAATAATATATGCTTCTCAAAGAAAATATACAGAAAAGAAAAAATAATTATCTCAAATTCTACCATGAAAAGTTGCATATTGTTAACATTTTGTTGAGTTCCTTTCCAAGTACTTTTTTCTTGCAGATATTTCTTGTTATGCCACATAATTTGGACCATAAGATTATTCAAGTGTATATTTTATTTGTTTCATTTAATACCTTAAACATTGTTTATGTTATTACAAAATTTTCATAAGTTTTCATAAGCTTAATTTTTCTTTTTCTTTCTTTTGTTTTTTGTTGTTTGGAGACAGAATCTCGCTCTGTTGCCTGGGCTATAGTGCTGTGGTGTCAGCCTAGCCCACAGCAACCTCAGACTCCTGGGCTCAAGCGATCTTTCTTCTGCCTCAGCCTCCCAAGTAGCTGGGACTACAGGCATGTGCCACCATGCCCGGCTCATTTTTTCTATTTTTAGTTGAGACAGGTTCTTGCTCAGGCTGGTCTCGAACTCTTGAGCTCAAGTGATCCTCCCTCCTCGGCCTCCCAGAGTGCTAGTATCACAGGCATGAGCCACCATGCCAGGTCTTAACTTTATTTTAAATTGTTAACCAGTTGTCTAATATGTACACTGAGTGATGCACATTTTCTGCAGGATTTGAGAGTCTTCCATCATCATTTGCTCCAGAGGTTTTCTTTTTTTTTCATGAGACAGAGTCTTGCCCTGTTGTCAGGGCTACAGTGCCATGGCATCCACCTAGCTCACAGCAACCTCAAACTCCTGAGCTCAAGCGATCCTCCCTCCCTGGCCTCCCAGAGTGCTAGGATTAGAGGCATGAGCCACCACCCTGGTCTAATTTTTCATCATAATGTGGAAAATAAATTATTTCCCATTCCCTGTTTTTGGATGTTTAAGTTGTTTTATTTT